TAAACCTTCAAAATGTAGAAAAAATAAAAATGGCTTTGAGACTTACTAGTGTTGGCCTCTCAGGCCAAGACAACTGCACCCAAGTTGCACGGCTAGTCAATATTCAATGTTTCTCATGTGGCTGGAAGCAGCTCAGTGCCAGAGCTTGCTAAGCATGCGCCAGGCCCTGGGTTCTCCACAGAACCACAACAAACAAAGTAACCATCAAACAACCACTTATTACAGCATCTTTTCGTTTCTGAAGAACTTTACAAATCAAACTCTAAAGAAAACCCACCATGGTTTATCTAATCCAATTAGTTGTTTTATTTCACACATTCTCATACCCTGTCTCTGTAAAGGGGCTACTCAACTGACTGGCACATTAATATAAACGGCTTAGCTCATTCAAGGCTCTGAGGTTGTGACAGGCTCCCCCGTGCACTGACGTCAGTCTTGGGGGTTAACTCGTGATTAAAATCATAGGGAACCAGCTCACAGGCCAACCCAGTGGGATAGCTCCAACATACCTAAGTTCATCCATTTCCTTCTTTTTCTTCATTTCTTCTTTTTCTCTCCTTTTCATTTCCTGGATTTGGGCTTTTTTCTCATTCCTCTCTTCACGATCCCTGCCTTCTTTCTCTGCTGCTAGGTCTGGGAACCGCTCCGATTTGGTCTTTTCTAATCGGTTCAGGACCTCATTCACTTTCTTCTCCACTGCTACAATTTTTACCTTGGAGAGAGATGAGATCGAGTCTTTATTTTTTGTTTTTTCCTCCCAGGAGAGGGGCAAGGCTTTCCAGGGCTCTAGCAGCACACTTTTGCTCCCTTAGGACACACATCATGCTCACTCAGCCTTCCACGACAGTGGTGCTGGACAGAACAGGTGGGGGTGAGACAGAGTCGTACCAAGACTCTGTCTCCTGCAAAACACTTACGTCCTTCTGCCTGTGAAAGCCTATCTGCCCCACATCCATGTCAGCTGTCTTCTTCAGGTTCGACCACGGCGTGTACACCACATTCACGTTGTTCATCTTGCAGCCTGCCGAGAGAGACTGTCTTCACTACGCGGGCAGGAGGGGACAGCATGGCCCCCCTCACCCACTGCAAGGCCATCCAGCCCAGAAGCCAAGCCTCCCACTATGCAAAGCACCTAAAGCTTTTCAAAAACCACCCCAAAAGGCAAATGGTAAAGCTCACATTGAACAAAACACGGACAATGTATTATAATGGAAAGCAAGGGTCTGTGGATTAGCTCAGGGACTACCAAGAACTTCTTAAAATTGAATGCAAAAGGTAATCTGCGTGTGTGTGTGTGTGTGTGTGTGTGTGTGTGTGTGTTACAGGACCAAATAAGGTTCCTGTTTTCTTAAAGGAGTCACTAGATCAGTAAAGGTTAAGCAGCAATACAGTGTGGGGTTCCAGAGATCAGGACTCTATTCGGGCATCATGATAAACCAGCTGTGGCCCTTTGGGAAAGTCTTCAGGGCTCCCTAATCTCATCTGAACTACAAGGCAATGGGATTAGTTTAGTAGGGTTTTCTTATCATTGCTGTTTCAGGAGTGGAACCCTCTTTACCAAAGGAAGCAGAAGTGGCCATCCAGGCAGGGCTGCCCTGGAGGAGAGTGCCGGCCCTCCTCAGGCCACCCCTCCGCTCCCCTCCCTCCTCCTCCTCCACAGGTTGCCTCTACACCCTCCACCCCAGCCGCTCTGAGAGTCACAGGAAAATCGCTGGTCTGACGCCACTGTCTTTCCATGGTAGATGGCTATAAACCGACGTTTACATCCTTGCACGAACTATGGAAAACTGGCAGACCCCACCTTACCAAGGATCAAAGGTAATTCTCTAAAAATGGAGCAAAATGACACCATGTGCTCCCAACTGGGAAAGGTGAAACTTCACTTATGCACTACTACTGCTCAAAATGCATGTGTGATTCCAGTCAAGAGGACGTATCAGCAAAACCCACACCACGGGCTGCTCCACAGCTGGGCCCCACTTTAAAAGTCACAGTCTTAGTAGATGAAGAATCTACAGATCAGACAGCTGTGACAGGTAAATCCACTGCTCCATCCTACATCAGAAAAAAATGCTATGAAGGTACTAGGACAACTGGTAAAACTTAAATATGGACTGTGTATCAGGTAACAGTATTCTATTCATGCTAAATCTGAATCTGACCACTGTAATACAGTTATTTAAGACAAATCTTGGTTTCTTAAGAGACACATGTAGAAGGGTCATAGTATCTACAATTTTCCTTCAGATGCCTTAAAAAAAATAAAGAATATGGTATTTTTAGAAAGCAAAGAAATGTGAAAAAAATTTTAAATGATAAATCTAAACGAAGGGAATATATAAACTGTAATTTTTAGCCCGGCGTGGTGGCACATGCCTGTAATCCCAGCACTTGGGAGGCTGAGGCAAAAGGATCGTTGCAAGTTCAAGACCAGCCTGGGCTAGAAAGTGAGCTCAAGGCCAGTCTGAACTCCATAGAGAGACCTTGTCTCAAAAAAGACAGAAAAATAAATAAATAAATAAACTGTAATTTTTGTGCTACTTTCCTATAGATTTGAAAGATTTTTGTTTTTCAAAGCGAAAGTTTAAAAAGAAAATCCAGGTGCAAGGCACCGGGGGAATGCCAAGCTGACCGGGTAATGGCCCTACCTACCAAGCCTCTAGAGGAGACAAGTGCGCAAGTCACGTCAGTTACAAGGAGAAGGCGGCAAAGGCTGGCAGAAGATTCATGCCAAATGCCAAGTAGCTCAGGGATGGCAAGGCCCACTCAGTGCCAGGAAGGGAAGGCGCCCAGGACAGGTGCTCAGACAGAAGACTGGAGTCAGAGAGCTCACTTCAAACCCAGCCTCTCCTATACTGCAGAGCCCTGAGATGTTGCGCAAGTTCCCTCACCCTCTTAAAGCTCAGTCTATGGAATGAAAATAATCACAGTATCTAACCAACAGGGGTGACAAAACCATCAAAGCTCTCAGTGCAGGGCCAGGCATCCCGTTCGTATCAGCAATTACCACTCTAACTACAACCACCATGTGGACCTCCAGTTTTAGCGTGGACATGCTCACATGAGGACCGAAGAAGACACAAGTGAGGGCAGAGGTAAAACATAAAGTGTGAAATATTTGAAGAGAACGAAGCTGTAGTCAGATCAGGGATGCCCTTTAGGTGCCAATTTGAGATGTCTTCACTGAGCTTTACAGGCCAAGGAAGTCACCGACATCTTCTGGGCTTCTGAGGATTTGTCAGGTGACACAGAACGGGCTGGCTGACCTATCATTCAAGGCCAAACCAGAACAGGCTGATTCTACAAATGTGACCTCCATACCCTTGGTGCTAGGCAGGGAAAGGGACCAACCAGGGAGGGACATTTTGAACTCCCAGTGTCCGAGTGGAGTGTCCCCTGCAACCTCACAGCAAACACCACCTTTCTCACCGCTCAGCAGCACCCTCTGCCACTGACTGACAGAGACAGACTCTGGGGCTTAGCTTCCCATTCTGTGGGCAGCTTGTTCTGTGGGAGGCCGGGCAGGACACAGAGGCGGAGACGGAAGAGTAGTTCAGTCTCAGGCGCTCCCTCCTCTGTTTTCTCTAGGCCCAGTACACTAGGAGATACTAAGAAGAAAGGGGCGGAATCAAGAATAAGCACTCCAGTGTCCCTCCAACGCAGGCACACGGTAAGCCGGGGCAGGGACAGGGCAAGAGGTGCGGAGCAGACTGGGCCGCAGAATAGACTGCTTTTATTTTTATTCCACTAACTGAAGATCTTAACTGAAGATCTCAGAAAATCCAATTCTATTCATAAAATGCAGTATCCTAAATCTCATTACAATTTGTTGATTTATGGAGTTGAAAATCAGTGCCTCCCTAAGGCCAGACTTCTACCTTCTTTGGCTAGGTACCCAATTCATTATTTTTTGTTTTTTTGTTTGTTTTTTCTGGTACCGGGAATCGAACTCACGACCTTGCACCTGCCAGGCAGGCGCTGGGCTGCTGAGCTAAATCTCCAGCTCCCCTCCTGCAGATTCATTATTAAGGCTGCATGAGTTCATATTCAAGAAACACAGTCTAAGTGATAGGGAAGGGACACACTGGCCCAGCTCTTTGTATCACCAACCTCTGGGAGCTGTTAACAGCTATGTGCCTGCCCCTTGTGTATCCTCTACCCAAACCATATTTCTTTACAACCTTCTGTATCATCCTTCAACTTCAGATCAAAGAAAAATTACCTCCACCCTCGCTAGGCCCATGTCCCGCATCTAAAATTCCATCTATTAGCACAATCACCGCTGCCCCCAAGCACCCCTCGTAACTGCCACCTCGCCCAACCATCACCCTTCCTGGCCTTTACTGGCGTTAGGTTAAATCTCATACACTAGAAATGAATAAGCATCAGCACAGCAGAAATAAGCACACATGAGGCCAACGGCCCTCAACCCACACTGAACATCACAATCACCAAGAAAAATTTTTACAAAAATAGTGATACTCAAGGATTATTCCACACCAATTAAGCTCTCTGAGGAGAAAGGACAACATGATCAATTGATTTTAAAGCTTCACAACTTGAAGAAAAGAAATAGGAGGAGGAGAGAGAAAAGGGAGAAAAAAATGTATGATTTAGACTCTAGTTCCAGAGTCTAATGACAAACAATGGAAATAAAAACATCAGCACTGAAAATAAAAGTATGAGATGTCTCTCTTACTTAGCTAGCAGCACTACCAAATTTCCAAGTCTTTTTACATAGACCCTTAAAACTGCCATCCGCTATAAAGATACGATCTGCGATTTCTCTGATGCAAGCCAAAGTCAACAGCACATTCTCAAAAATGCAGTGCATTTCAGACAAAAAGTCAGAGCTGATTCTGAAAACACCTCTAGAAAACTGACCTTGAATGCTATTGGCCTTCACAAGCTGGGCACAGTCCACCAGCACTTCCTTGGGAATGTCTTCTATCTTCTCTCCCTGCAACACAAAAACCGAAAGGTCCGTGCCCTGTGACTGGCCACCACCGGGGCACTGACAGGGCACTTGCGACCTTACTACACGCAGCAGGCAATTGGGTCGCAGAACACTGAAAAGCCAGGTCAGTTCACTGTGTCCCTCATGAGATGTTTATTTAAACCCAGACAGGCCAATACCAAGCACTATACTTAATATAAAAAAATTAACTGCAATTGTAATATTAACTGTAATTATGTCTAGTAAGTTTTTTTCTCTCTTTTCATTCTTTTTCTGGAAACCTGGTGGAAAAATGCCTATTTGTGACAACTGGATTTCTTCCTGGCTAAGGCCACTACAACCCTGCTCTCCCAGAGACAATTCAGAGCTCTGAGTGTGGGACCTAAACAAAGCTCTGGTGTTAGATATGCAGCACTCACCATGAGGGAGATGGAACACAAAGATGGTATCAATCCTCCTTCTCCACAGAAATCTGTTTCAAAGATGAGTAAGTACAGTGATTCCCAAAGAAAAAAAATATCTCGGAGGCAAAGCAAGTGGAAATCAGTTCAGAACTAAGCCCTACTAGGCATGGGACTACAGAAACACCTGTCTGACAAAGAAAGATCCCCCTAACTAACTATTGACACAAATTAAGTTTATTTTGTTATATCTCAAAAACTTTTTTTTTGTCTTTTTGAGAGGGCACTGTCGCTATGCAGTTCAGGCTGAACTTGAGCTAACTCTGTAGCCCAGGCTGGTCTCAAACTCTCAACAATCCTCCTGCCTCAGCCTCCTGAGTGCTGGGATTATAGGCGTATGCCACCACACCCAGCTCTCTAAAACTTTTTACATTAAAAAAAAGTTTTTGTGGTGTCAGGGATCAAACCCAGGGTCTCACATATGCTAGTCAAGGACTCTACTACTGAGCTATGCCCCTCTACCCTGGATGCTACATTTTACATGTTTTAAATGGGAACCTCTCAAATATACATTTTGGACAAAAAGAAAAAAAAATGAGCTGAGTTCATCAGTACTCTAAAGGCATTTCAGTCTATGCATTTCCTAGGTCATCTGAATAGAGGATTCTGAATTTAACATCTTATTAACACAATGCTATCATTACAAATATCCAAGACAGCAAACCAGTATCTAAAACTGCAAAATGTCTTACAGTATATTACAGCCTAAGACAGTAGGTAGTACTGTAAGACAGTGATAAAATATAGAACAAGAGACTGACTCTATAATAATAAAATCAAAATGACTTAAAAAGAACACCAGCCGCCACTTTTTGACCGCCCCCATGTGGGGTATAGTAACCCGCCGTATAACATAGCCTGCACAGCCTCACTCTGTCAATGAAGAGACTGCAGCTCAGTGAAGGAGCTGGGCCAAGGTGCCCCGTTTTTAGTAAGACAGAGCTGAAGGACGAAGCAGGCATAACGCCGTGCTCTCCAGCCGGCTGTGGACATGGATGCTCACAGAGCTTTGTGGCACAGTACAGTACAGTTTCTCGGTTCTTGTTGATGTCTACAGCCCAAATTTCTCCTTACTATCGGTGGCTGTCATGTTTCCTAAAGCAATCTCTTCTTCCTGTTTTGCTATTTCCAATATAATATGAGCAGACCCAAAAAGACACACAAAAAACTACGAACCCACCCAGCACAGTGTTTTGCACCAAGTCAAGAAGTACGCTCCAAAGGGCTCTCAGTATGTAAAGGCCAGAATTTTGACAGTGGGCTTTGTGCCATTTTATGCTAATAGAACAGGAAACCTGTAGACAGAATTTTGTATGGGTTTCAAAAAATAAAAAACCTAGTGTTTTAGCTGAATGTCTATGATCTTTAAGGACTGAATTCAACAACAACCACAGCAACAACAACACACATACAGACAGTGGTTAGCACATGCCATGCATTACTCTGCGTGCTTTAAGATATGCTGGTTCCACCAGGTGCGGTGGCACACACATGTCTATAGCCCTAGCACCAAGGGAGGCTGAGGGAGGAAGACTGAAGTTGGAGTCCCATCTGAGCAACTCAGTGAACCAGTCTCAAATAAAATGAGATGAGAGGAAAGGAAAGGAAATGTAGCTCGGCAGCAAAGCATCCCTGGTCCTCACAGTGACCTAGGAAGACAATGGGCTGGCCTACTCCACAGAGGAAACAGGCACAGCTAACAAGCAGCACAGCCAGGAATAAAATCCAGCAGTCCGGCTCCAGGCTGGGTTCTAAACCACTTCGTCTCGCCGTGTCTCCGCACTTACTTGGTGCCTACGAAGTCCGAGGGCCCGATCTGCTTACTGTGCACATCGAGGAGGGAAAAGTCCCCCAAAGAGCACATGCTTTCCACCTGTGCAAGTTACGTGCTTCCAAAGGAAACTGGAGCTGGACTTCTACGACGGCAATTAACACCTGGTGCAACGTGGTCTGGCCACGGCCACCAGTATCTCCACTCTGACACCTCAGAGCCCCAAGGACTCAGAAATCTCTACCAAGGACACCTGGGCACACCCTCCTCGATCTCCTCGAAATGTAATAGGTGCAAAATGGCCACGAGCTGCCTCCGACAGTGCGGGAGTTTGCCCCAGCAGAGCTCAGAATCCTTTTCCTTCACAGTACAGCCCTCAGAGACATCTCCGACACAAGTGACGATGGGGCGCACCACTTAACCCTGCAAGTAAATTATTCATGTTCTAGCCATGAGGAAGTAGCCCTATAGATTTATGCAAATGGCTTTCTAAGTTTTAAAAGAAAAATTTGGGAAAACTTAGAAGATAGCAAACAGCATTTCAAGCTAGCACAATCTCTGAGGGCAACTTGACAAAAAAGGAGTTCCAAAATTACATACGTCTTCTGACCTGGTAATTAATCCACAGCTTGGCACACTTGCACACTTCTACCTGTAGTCCCAGATACTCAATGAAAATAGTAAATTTAAATTTCAAAAAAAGGCATTACGGTAAGGCTGAGGCAGGAGGACCATTTGAGCCCAGGAGTTTGAGACCAACTTGGACAATACAGTAACACTCCACCTCTAGAAACAAAACACACGAACAAAAAAGAATATATTTTGTTGCTAATTCTAACACTGAAAAACTATAAACCTGTATTCTGATAAGGGAGCTCTCGTATGTTTTGTTTTGTTTTGATTTTGATTTTTTGAGACAGGGTCTTGCTGTGTAGTCCAGGCTGGTCTTGAACTCACTATGTAGTCCAGGATGGATTCAAACTCGGGGCAATCCTCCTGCCTCAGCCTCCAAGTGCTTTTACAGGCATTCACCACCATGCCTAGCCTGGGAGCTTTCATACTAATGGCGGCCTATTATCAGCTCACTGTAGCCAAGCAATATTTATACATATGAAAATAATACAGTAACATGAAAAATTTATAAATGTCACCTTAAAAGTAATAGCATCAATCAGGAGATGCTGGGATGGATACAGACAGAGACAGAGTCTAACTGCATTACAACTGTAGGTATCACGTCTCTGAAAGGCTCAGGGGAAAAACAGTAGCTTAAGTGAAACTTTGGAAAACAGTGCTCTGCTTGGAAACCATAAAGCAAAAGGCAAAAGTAACAGCATACCCACACTGTCCAGCTGACAGAGCTGTTTCTCATGGGACATGGGTTAGCAATTCAGAAGCCCCACATATACTAGAGTCAAATAAGTAAATGGAAGGCAGGGGGGGTGTCAAAGGATGCTGGGAAAAGGCCAGAATGAACCTTGTAACGGACTCAAGCCAGAGACGGCAACAGGAGCTCACATACAGCTTAATAAAGGCTCACGTGACGAGAACCTGAAAGGACTGTAGCTATGTATATACATACGAGTCAGTACATGTATGAAGTGTGATCAAAAAATAGTAAGTTTAAATTTCAAAGAAATGCATTACGGTAAAAGGCACACTGCTTTGAATCGCTCTCACAATACTCCCTACACTGTGCACACATTTATCCTACTGCATTCTGTGACCCCTCACATGAAGGGTGGCACTTTCTACATGTGATGTCTTGTCAGCGCTCAAAACATTTAGATTTTGGAGCATTTAAAATTCTGGATTTTCAGGACAGGATGCTCAATCTGTATTTCCCAGCTCTGTCAGCGGAGAGGGCCGAGGAGCAATGATACTCTAGGAGTAACAGGTACACCCAGAATCCAGGTCTTGATTTCAAAATACCACACACCAAGAAAATAAACCAGGTTTCTCGGAGAAATGGCTGATTCCAGGAAAGATACAAGATGCACCCGAAGCACCCTGTACTATCAGAAGGCAAGGGTGTGCGCGAAAAGCAAAGGCCCTGGAGGAACACAGGAGCCCAGCTGGAATAATACGGGCAACAAAACAGCACGGTGCTGAATACAACGCAGGGTGGGCCATGAACCCAAGTCCACACTGACACAATACGTGGCTAAGTAAATGCAGGAGGAGACTAATCTTCCTGAAGAATTCCAAACAGTATCTGCGCAGGATCCCCACTGCATAAAGAGGGCTCGATTCCACCAACTGCTGCCTCTGAACGGGGGCCAGACTTAAGAGCCCTGTGTCCAAGCAGCCAAGTCTGGAAAGGGAAGAAAAGTAACTTCACAGAGGAGGAAGCTGGCCGGGCCATCAGTGAGTGCTGACTCATGAATACACACCCTCTGACCTGACGCAGCTCTGTGGGGTTCTTCTCCCTAAACCCTCAACCTCGGTCTTTCATGAATCCAAATGGAGTAACATTCTGTACAATCCCTCGTGAAAGTGTCCAGGTCAAAAAAAGTAGGAGAAGAATGAGAAATTGTCAACAGGGCAGACCTGACAACTAAACACAATGTGGTACTCTAGACTGGATCCTGGGAAAGAAGGACATTCATGAAAATACTGCTAAGACTCAAATAAAGTCTGGAGTTTAGTTAGCAAAAATATCCCAAGGCTGGCTTCTTAGTTTCTTACTATCTGGCATAGTAAAAGAATAACTTAACAATGGAGGAAACTATGCGGGAACTCTGTATTATCTCCGCAACTTTTTTGTAGCCTTGAAAGTGCTCCAAAGTAAAGAGTTTGTTTAAAAAAGGAGTGGCTGGATGTAATGCTGCACACCTGTCATCCCAGAACTCTGGGAGGCTTAGGCAGGAGGATCCCAAGTTTGAGCCTAGCCTGGGCGGCTTAAGTGACTTCGTGAGGCTCTTTCTCAACTAAAAAGGAGGGAGGACACACTGGAGGTGTAGCTCAGTATCTAGGGCCTAGGTTCAATCCCCAGGACTGCCAAAACACACACACATATGTAACATATAAATATATATATATGCCAAAAACATATACCTTATGAATAAAGACCTACTGGAAAAACAGTGGTGATGTGTTAGCAGGAAGCATTACGTCTGTTTCCCTTTATTTTGAACACCCTGCTTTACACTGCCCAAAGAACCCTGGATACAGAGACTGGGAACGTTCTGCGTCAGTAAGGGAGGAGACTCACAGGAGCCAGAGCTAAAGGAGCCACTGGAGAGGAGCGTCTGGAGGTGTCAACTGGACTTCAAGGGATGAAAGCAGAGGACAAAGACAACACACTCACACTCACAGACAAGGATGCTTCTTCTGCCTGGGAAACAGCTACTCCTGACCCTTCTAAGACTCAGAAATGGCCTAGAATTCTCCATAATGATTTTCTGGTCAGGGAGAAGACATCTCTTTATGTACTAACTTTTAGATTTTTGAACGTATTTACTTGAAGCAATTTAACTTCAGAAAAAGAACAGGCTATGCTGCTTATCACTAAAGACAAAGTCATGGATCCATGTTTAATGCAGTTACCTTATGCAATCGAAGGTATACATGAGCCGAAGAGATTTTGTCCACATGAAACCTACAAACAATGAAAACCACTTTTAGCAAGAGGTACAAGACCACCACCTCCTTGGCCCCTTGCATCTGAAGCGCCTATTCCAGAAAGTATGCACCCAGGGCTGTTTTCTTGCGGCCTCCCACAGCTGGGGACCATGGTGTACAGAAAACAGTAGCCACCTCCAAAGGCCTCGACAGCAAGCAGAGCCACCAGACCAACACCAAAAGTTGCGTAGCTACATGTGAATAATCAACAACATGAGCAATAATAAATACTAAATGCCCTGAGAGGGCAATTTTTCAGGTGATAGAGCTATCCGGGACCAAACGATTCACAGAAGAACTGCGATTTGGTTGGCTCCTGATAGAAACACAGGGCTGAGAGGAAAAACAGGGAAGGGAATTCAGGCGAGAAGTTAAGTTAATGAAAGAAGTCAGCGAGATGGCAAGGTTGCCCACCTGGGAGGTTTGCAGGCCACAGGCGGGAGAAAAATGGGGGTTTTGCCTGGGACATCTTAAATGTTGAACAATGGCAAAACAACCAAAGGCCAATGTCAAGTACACATTTAGAAAAGTTGGCTGAGGCCTGAGGTCACCAAGCAGAACACATCATTAAATGGGTGAGCCAAAAACACATCGAACCCCGTACATAACCTGTCTCCTGGGTGGACCCGACCGTACAAACATTCAGAACACCCCCCACATGTCTTAAACTTACCTTGCATTATGCTCTACCATCCATCAACTTAATTATACCTAAAACTGATGTGGCATTTTGGAATATTACGTTTTTCACTTTTACAGCTCACCAAATGAAGGTGACTTTCTCTTTTTGGCTCCAGAATCCTAGCATCGAATGATGAACAAGGTAACAGAAGGCAAACACGTGGATTCTGTTAGTCCTTAGTTTTTCAGACTAAGAATGCTCAGTAAAACCCAACGAGGTACCATTACATCCCATTATATATTTTGTTAGACATTTTCACAGCATTAACATATTTTTTTAGACAAGAAAATGGTCACACACTCACAATGAGTACAAAACAGAGACCAGTATGGTTCAGTATAAAGGATAAAGCTATGTTGTTCCCAATTCCCTCTTTGGAAAAATTAAATATCTTGTTATTCATTTTGGATACAGACTATCAGGCATTTTTCTGTAAACAGTCAATGTTGACTGTAGGTTTTATTTTTAATCCTTACTGATAGCCAGAAAAGGGGAATTACATCATATTTGATTCATGTTTTTCCAAGTTACCCATTCGTGTTCCCACACAAGAGATTCATACTTTAGTTGGGAGCTGTTTCATCCAGGAAAAAAGTATCTATTTTTTGCAAATCTGAAAATTGTATACTTCATTATCCTCCTTCAGATTATTGGGAAGATACCACACTACTAACAAAGCTCAATCTTCTCCTATTCTAACTTTTACTTGCTTTAAGCCAGCTCTCTGTTTGTAATTTCTCCCTGTATACCCATAGTACCTAGGTTAAATTCTGATTTTTATTCTAGGTTTCAAATGTAGAATTCTGTCAAATGAAATACCCAAATAATTCAATACATACCCTAATAAATTCATATATAAGACCTGGGTGTGATGCCACACGCCAGTAATCGCAGTATTCTGGGAGGCTGAGGCAGGATTGTAAGATCAAGCCCAGTTGGGTAACCTAGTCACTTAGTGAGATCCTATCTCAAAATAAAAAATAAGAAGTGTTGGGGTTGTAGCTCAGTGCAAAGGATATGCAGTCCAAAAAAACAAAATTCCTACATAAGTAATTTAAGTACCCAAACACAAGAGTGTCCTGAGCAATACACACCACCTTCAGGTTTGTGGGTAGTTGGCACACCTCTCTCTATGAAGAACAGAAGAGCGGACACAATCATGGGGCTTTGGTTGAAATGATAATAAACAAAACACCCCAGAGCTCTATAATAAACAAACCATTTTAAGTGATTTTTCTTATTAAAATCCTTCCTAAATCTCCCAAAATGCTTACTTTAAAGTTTAAATTATTGTCCTTGTTATGTTCTCTCCCTGTTGAATCCCTGTTACCCTTTACTGAAGGCAAAGACCAGAACTGTCTCTAAAAGGACACTGAATACCTAAGAAGTAGAGGCACAGGGTCCCAGAACCCAGTTCTTAAAATTCTTAGAGCCTATGAAAATAGTATGCACATTAACTCTATTTTCCTCATTTAAAAATTAATTTAGTGCCATCTGTACTTAATGCTAGGATAATCCCTTGCTTTAAAGGGTCTCAGGAAGCCAGGCATGGTAGTTCACAAATGGAATCCCACCACTTGGGATGGTGAGGGACAAGGTTTGTCCCAGTTTGAGGCCAGCCTGGGCTACATAGTGAGAGATCTTGTCTTAAAAAAAAAAAAAATAGTCTCGGGAGGTTTTCTGGGATAAACTAGGCTGCTGACTGTCACAGAGGTAAAGTCCCAAAGGCTGCAGCAGAGTAAACAGGTTAAAAATCTACCCTGGAATGTAGGCCAACTGGGAACCATTCCCGGAGCTCCCTGGAAGATCGCCAGGACTGACAGTTCACCAACCGGAACTGGCCTCAGGCTATTCCAGCTCATAGCAGTTCTCAAGTAACTGTGAGAATAAAACTCAGCCACGTCTAACCACAGCCACTAATCTCTAGACTGTAAAAGAGTGCTGAAAAGTCTCTACACCTATAAATCCAAGTCTGTTAACTACCAACCTTAATGAGATTAATGACTCCAGCTGTACTTTTTTGGGTGCAGGTTATAAATGAAAAATGTCCCTTCCACTTATTTAAAAGAAAAGGTAAAGACATTGTGGTGAACTGACTTTCATGGTATGTCTGACAATATAACCTTTCCTATGCAGGCGTTTAAGTGTCAAACCAAATATGTTTAAAAACATGCAGTGGGGAGCTACCTGACAGGCACAGCCATTCTTAGCTCCCCTGAAAGAATCTACAGACACCTGAAATACTCCAGCTGTGGGTGACAGGTCCTCGGAATGGAGGTAAGCAGAAAGCAGTCACTGGGAAGAAACCGCCAACAGGGATCACTACCAGGGAGGAAGAGAGCTGACCCACCAGGAAGTGACATGTATTCACTGAACACATGCTATGTGCCGTGACCTATACTCGGGACTGGGGATGTAGCAGCTAACCCAGGTAGATCGCTGTCCCCACAGAGCTCACAAGCTAAGCCCTCGGAAGGAGCAACACCCTGCTAGAAGCTCCTGGTGTGCAAACTGCTACAGTTTCACTCGATGACATATTTTGAGTCCAGATGGGACAGGGTTCTGGGATGGTCCTGAGCCTCATATGAGACAGGTGGGAGATGGGGGCGCTCCGAGGGAGGCCTGAAGGCAGGGACAGTTTCAGTAAGCCTCAGTGCAGTATCTCCCCGGTAAAGGCTCAATGTTGTGTCCAGCTTCCCTTCTCAAGAGCAGCTGCCTTGCACGCCATCACCTGAGGGAATCAGGGTCTGCGCCCACACAAGAACAGGTCTGAGAAGGGCTGCAGCAATGGCCTTGGGGCACAGCATGGCCATGACTCAGAACTGGGGTCTGATGCAACCAGCAGTGTTCAATTTCTCCTATTTCAGTTTCCTGCTCTGAAAAATGGGCATGATAGCTGGGTGTGGTGGTGCACACCTGTAAGTCCAGCACTTGGGAGGGTGAGGCAGCAGGATTGCTGCAAGTTCAACGCCAGCCTCAGGTACACAGTACACTCAAAGCCACCCTGAACTACAGAGCAAGAACCTGTCTTAAAAAAATTCAAAAAACAAAAGGGCATGACATCAATACTTATTTCCAGGGTGGGTGAGAAATGAGATGTATGAATACAGGTAAACACTTGGTAGTATCTGTCATATAGTTAAGTACATGAAAAATGTTCATTATGACTATCACATCAAATAGGATCTGAGCACTTAGCTCCAGGCTTACATCTGGTAGCGGGTGTTATAAGCTGGGGCAATGATCCCACTCAACAGGCAGGATTAGGCTCTAGGAGATCACGAAGGTCAGAGTCAGCAGTGGAAGACAAAGATGGAAAAATAAAGCAACTGAGTACAAGAGCATCAAGAGACAGAGAAGTCACTGGAGCCGTGCACTGTGCAGATGGCCTGGGTCTGATCCAATACCAAGGAGTCTTTTTGTTTGTTTTTTTCAACTGGGTTTGGTAAACAAAATAAATCATCTTGGAGGGAAGGTAGGAAGTATGTATTATTATTGTTTAAATGGTTTCCCTAAATCCTTTTAGAAAGAAGGCATGGGGATGGAACAAGAATAGCCTGAATCTAAGTGTTGGGGCCCCAGCAAATGCACAAGAGACCAAGAGGCAGAGGACACCTGTGTTCTGGAAGCCTTTGCTCTTGGGCCTGCAGTCAAACCCAGGGCATTATCACCAGCTTACATGGTAATTATAAATGAAGGCAACTGGCAAGGGGTATTTACACCCGAACACCTATAAACACAAGTACATGGTACAAGCTCCAGCTTTAATTACAGGAATCAGGTTACTGCTAAGTCTAAGAAAGTTAATGATGAGCCACAGGAAGCAGAACCAAAACTGTTACTTACCAAATATCTTCAGGCCAGCCATACTTTATCAGATCTTCATCTATAGTAAGATTCAAGAGAACACAGAAAAGTTAAGAAAAACTGTCAAATGAAGATGTGCCAAGTTTACAAGCTGGGAAGGAGAGAAATATCAACCCCTCCCACAACTTTCTCTCTTCCTTACCCAAGAAGACAGTAATTTAGAGAGGCTTTGAAGCTTGAAAATGCAGAAAAGTAAAACAACTTTTACAATTAGAGGATATAAACTGCAGAAGTTGAATACTCCTAATCCAAGATATTCCTGTTTGAAGACAATGAAAATGACAGCAGCAAATCAGAGCAGCTAAGTCAGATAATACTTTGGAAAACTTACTATAGTACTACCTAATGTTAAGATGGTTTTGCTGAAACTTTGAAATAATGCATTGCATTTTAATGCAAGAAAAATGTAACCTGGTTATATAAATAGTATAGAAAACTAGGAATAAAACAGAAGAATAAAAAGAAAATAAAAATCTAAAATTCTATCATATATGGAAATCAAGTACACAAAAAAGAAGTAAAAGAACAAAGTACTTGGGGAGGTGAGGAGAGGAACACGGGTGCTGGAAGGACAGGGTGAGGAACTGATGCTTTTGTTATATGCATTCTATTACGATTTAACTTCTTAAACTATGTGGTAGATAAAAATAAAAATTTTTAGCTGGGTGTGGTGGCACACGCCTGTTATTCCAGCACTCTGGGTGGCTGAGGCAGGACTGCAAGCTTGAGCCCAGCATGAGCAACTGAGAATTTAGTGAGACTTTGTCTCTAAAGAAAAAGTTTAAAAAGGGTGGGGCTGTAGCTCAGTGTGACGGCCTTGGGTTCAATTCCCAGTGCAAATAAATAAAACAAAAAATTTAAAACTTCTTTGGAAACCATGATTAAGGAAAGGTTATATCAGTATATACTTCTGTCATATTAATAATTAGAAATAGCTATGTTTAACAGAAGTATTTAGGTATTCCACACCAATTAAAGAATTCTAAGGAAAGCAAAATGATTCACACATGATGATGTACATGAACCGGAGAAGAGTCGACATTCACTTGGACAGGGTGTGTACAAGTCACGGACGAAGGCACCCTGAGGACCGCAGGCAACCTGAGCTCTCCCCTGCAGTCTACCAGCTTTGGCAGGAAGCTGTGCTGGGGCCAACAATCCCGGGGCAAGTACGGGAAATCGAAGGCCTCTCCCCGCCCCGCTCACCAAGCGGCTCTTTCCTTTTACTTTCTGGCTCCCTGGTGACACCTGCCGGCCAGGAGGGGAACAGACCCAAAAGCTGTTGGGTGAAGGGAAACCACCCCATTTCAACTTCACCTATCTTCTCTGGTCCTCAGTCTGGATTGACCAAGGCTACAAAAGTAAGCGTGATGCACTGGGTGCTCCCAGCAGGAGGCCCCTGAAGTGCAGCACTCTTTTCCCACCGTGACTGGGAGAGGTGACACCGCTAAAAATTTCTTTCTTTTTTTTTTTTCTGGTACCAGCAATCGAACTCACGACCTTGCGCTTACCAGGCAGGCGCGGTGACACTGAGCTAAATCCCCAGCCCCTTTCTCTAACAATTTCAAAGGGCTCCGATCCCATCCACATGCACATCTGCTGACCTAACTATCCAGTGTGTCTGCAGATGCAAATTCCTACAACAGGTGTGTAAGGGGTTCCACAACCTGACCCACCCCGCACCCTCCTCCAACAAAGGCTTCCCAGCTCTCAGAGCCCTAGTCACATTTCCCACCTCCAGGCCCTCTACTTCTTTGGCATTTGCTGTCACTGTGACTTCCTTCTGCCCACTTTAAAAACAGATTTTATTTTCAGAGCAGTTTTAGTCTTGTAAGGAAACCCATGCATACTTCTCATACGTGAGTCCACCTGAAAAGGGAAAGCCCAGACCAACTCTTCTTCAGATATCTCACACAGGCTGGCACGCAGCCCCACCCAGAGAGGCCCTCAGCAAGCAGTAAACTAGCACGGAAGAGAGGCAGGGTGGAAATGACCCTGCCCGAGGCTACCACCTGCGTGAAGCAGACATAGGGCAGTCCTTCATTGTAAGAAATATGTTAACCACTGCCTCCCAAAGTTGCAGTACAAAACCTACACAACCTATACAGCAGCTTGGTTGTAGGTGTTGCTCTGTAACACAAGTCTTGGTCTCGCACTGTAACACGGTAGAAAGGAAAGTAGGTTTGGTGAAGAGTTGCGTGTTCATATCTACTGTAGATAACCAGGGCTCTATTTCTTGTGCCTGACTGCTCAGTGGAATGGAGATGGCATCCTCTCCTCCACATCAGGAGGATGCAAGGAGAATCAGTTAAAAAAAAAAAAAAAAAAAAAAAAAGAGACTGCAAATCTGAACCTAGCCTGGGCAATTTAGTGACTTACACACTCTGATACAAAACTTAAATAAAAGAAAAATAAAAAATGGCTGCATGTTATAATTTGCGTCCGAATGTCCTTGCAAAGCCTCATGCAGTCATGGAGCAGGCTTTTAGAGTTTATGACTGATTCACTGTCAAATGTCGGAATTATGAATGTGAGTGCTACACTTGCCCTGGGGCAGTAGTTTGCATACAATGTAAGGGAGGGAAAGAGGCTGCTTGCCGCTGCTCCTCTCTTTGCTGTTGTTGCTCTTGCTGTCTTCTGCCGACATGAACTGCTGCCCTCTGCCATGTGCCACTCTGCCTTGGAGCCAGCTGAGTATGGACTGAAACCTCTACAAACTGTGAGATAAATAAACCTTTCCTTCCTTAATTTTGGGTGTCAGGCGTTTTGTCTCAGCAACAAGAGAAAAGTAACTAAGACACTGGGGAGGTAGCTTAGTGCAGAGGTCCTGCGTTGAATCCCTCGTACTGGAAAAAAAAATTATCTCTGACAATTTATAGGCCACTAGGAGAAATCTAAAATTTGAGCATTAACATTCTGCAGGCTAAAGTCAATGTCATAAATTCACTATGAGAAAAAAACCTTCAAAATATGAGTTACTGTATTTTGGTGTTTTGGGTTTTTCCCCTGGCCGGGCTGTGACTGTCCTGCTTACCCAGCTTCTGTTTTATAGGAACAGTTTTGGCCTCATTTGTTTCACTGCTGTCCAATGTATTCTACTGAAGAATGCTGCCCGTGCCTCTCCTACAGCAGAGGGAGTCACCAGTCCAAACCGCTGTCCGTGCCAAACTACACCTCAACAGACATGGGTGGTTTTAGAAAGAGGAGTGGGACCGGATGATTTTTTTTTTTTTTGTCTTTTTGAGATAGGGTCTCACTATGTAGTCTAGACTGGCCTCAAACTCACAGGGATCCTCCTGCCTCAGCCTCCTGAGTGCTGGGACTACAGGGGTACACCACCCCACCCGGCCAGGACCTGATGATTAAAGATGGGTAGCTGCAGGCAGGGGACAGAGGTATCAAGGCCAGGAGCTGGTGGATGGGGAGCCAATGCCCCAGTGGTGCTAACTTTCCCTTCCAGTGCCAGGTGGGACAGGCCTTTCCACAGGTTCTTGCCTTTAACCTTTACTCCTGCAAGGTAGCCGCCATCATCTAAAACACTGAGGTTCAAAGAGGTTAAGTAACTGTGAATTTGTTAAAGGGCCACTGTAACCCATGCTGGGTGACTCCAGAGCTCTTCCCAAAACATCACACCGCCCCCAGGTGCAGCAGCTGTTTCCCAAGTTGTAAGGGCTGGAGCTATGCTTTCAAAATGCTTCTGCTCATCAAGAAAGCTCAGTAGCAGAGCTGTGGGTGTGGTGGTGCACACCTGTGATCCCAGCATGACGATCACAGCAAGTTCAAGACCAGCCTGGGCTACAGTGAGTTCGAGGCCAGCCTGAACTACATAGCGAGACCTTGTCTAAAAACATAAAAACAAAACCAATAGATTAGTTTCTCCAAATCCTAAAAATAATAGTAATAAAAAGGCTGAAATGATCCCTACAAAGTCTAAACCACAAAGGCTTTTGATGTAATCTAAATTAACACAGGTTAACCTCTGATTCAAGTTACTCTAAATCAAATGATACCATAAAACCCTTTGTAAACATTTCTAATCAGTAACAAGTAGTCTAACTCAAATAGTCTTTGATATTACTAAATTCTAGGAGGAGGAACTCCTTATAATGGCTGTAACTTATCAAAGAAGTTGAAAATCCACACCCTATGAAGTCTAAAGAAGTAGTCCTAGGGAAGCAGAGGTCAGCAGAGGCCGGGAAGGTGGCAGAGAGGGGAAGGAGAGGGCTCATCAAGGACAGCAAGGTCAGTCAGATGGTAGAATGAGTTCCAGTGTCCTACAGCACTGTGGGTAAATACACTTAACCATGATGTATACTCAAAATAAGGAGAAGGGAGGATCTGAAAGTTGTCACTATAGGAGATGAATATCTTATTTACCCCACTTTGATTACTATACTATATATGTGTACTGAAATATGAACAGTATGCCCCATAAATATGTGCACTTATTACTTTTCAATTAAAAATTTACAAATCAATTAAAATTTTTTGGTTTTTTTTTTTCTAGTACCAGGAATCGAACTCACAACCTAGCACTTGCCAGGCAGGCGCTGTGCCGCTGAGCTAAATCCCCAGCCCCATCAATTAAAAATTTAAAAAAGGGGAAATTCATGCAACAAATCAGGGAGGGGAAGACGACACTTACCTGGTGGAAAAGTCAAAATCAAATGCTTTTGAAAACTTACTTTCATATTTATCCTTTCCCATGTAAATGGTGTAAGTAGATGAATTAACTAAGACGAAACAAAAATTAAAAAAAGATTAGAAACATCATCACCAAAAGACTAGTTTATGGGTAAAACAAATGACACATGCTTAGATTAGGGGTTGACAAATTACAGCCCATGGGACAAACCCAGCCCACACACCTGTGTCTGAACGGCCCTCAAGCTAAGAAAGATTTGTACATTTTTAAAGGGTTGATAAAAAGCAAAACAAACATTGAACTACAGAGACTCACAGGGCCTGAAATATTTACTATCTCGCCTCAAAAGAAAAAGGCTACCAACTGTTTTTAAGGGGTAACTCTGCTATCTTCTGAGATGTGGTTCAATGGCAATTTCTAGTTTGCTTCAATACCTCTCCTTTCTTCGAGTTAAGAAAACAAAATCAAAATCTACAAATCAGTTGTTTTAAAAGAATTTCCAGTACTAATTTTATTTTACGTAGTTTTATTTAGGCAACATCAGTTATATTTCAGCAGTGCTGTGAACGCTAATGGGCTCCCTGTCCTCCTCAGGGGAACCACACCTCCCAAACTCCTTCCAAATCTGTGCCTCTGAGCCCGCTCGTGTATTAGAATCACCCAATTACAACCAAGCTCCACCTAGGACCAACTAAATCCAAATCTCAGGGCAGGGCTGCACACACTTGTGTCTTTTAAAAGCCTTTCAGGTGACTCTAATGTGAAGTCAGGGTAAGGAATCACTGTCCTACATCAAACAGAATACTGTCAGTGCGCTCATCTTAAGAACGACATTTGTAGCCAGGCATTGTGGTGCATGCCTGTAATCCTAGCACTCAGAGGCTGAGGCAGGAGGATTGTTGTGAGTTCAAGGCCAGCCTGGGCTACAAAGTCAGCTCAAGGCCAGCCTGAACTACATAGCAAGACCTTGTCTCAAAAAGACCAAAAAAAAAGAATGACATTTGTTTCATGGACGGAGTGTGACCTATATACGCATTCCTCATCTGGGATCAAACAAAAAGTTAAGTTTCTCACAGAAATTTTAACTGAACGCTGGGTTGCCAAGCTAGTCTATAAAAACTCGTTCGCTCCAACTGGATCTAATTCGCAAATCAATACTGTATTCATTAGGTCAGTGATGATGAACCTCCTCAAGTTTTCAATGATACAAACAGCCCGCTGTGGCATGCATGCCATAGGTTCACCACCACTGCAGGAGGCCCTCTGTCTACAGCATCTACTAGACTGGTACAGGCTGGGCTGCTATCCCACCACAGAGCAGCACACCCACCTCGTAAGCAGTGCTGCGACGGCTGCAGAGCAGCAGTCTTTCATGTAAATCCCTAAATCAGGGACTACCTGCACTTTCAATAATGAGAACCTTGTTACATAAGCAGCTGGGGAGAGAAAACTCCAGATTCCTTCAGTTAGCAGTTATGACTACAGCCCATAATTACCCGGAAGCAGCTGACACATGAAGGGCGGCTGTCTGTACTGATGAGCTGAAGGGTGGACCTGCTGGCCTTACTGGGCTCTGGCAGAGGGTTCTATCAGCTGGATGAGGTCTCAGCCCAGCATGTAACAAGTGCCAGGTTAGGGATGGAACTAAAAGCGCTTCAGGCTCTCTTTGCACAGCCTGGCGATATTTCACGTGTACATGTACTTCCAACCCTATGTCGCCAGAAGGAGCATTCTATTGAAGCACTCCATCCAGCCACGGCTTGTTCCTTTCACAGCTGACAACCATTAACAGAGAAAGGCTGCATACATTAAAATACAGCCATACACAAAATGCCATATACTCATTTTTCTAAAGGACAGGTGAAGAAATTAAGCGGTAGAATAGTACAGTATTTCTATTTAGATACAGTTAAGACTCAATTTACAGAAAAATAAATTATAAACTGGGCATGGTGGCACCTGCCTATAATCTGAGCAGTCAGGAAGCTGAGGCAGGAGGATTGTGAGTTCCAGACCAGTCTGAGCTGTATAGATTCCAAGCCAACCTGGACTACATAACAAAACTGTCTCAAAAAAATAAATAAATAAAATAAATGATTACATCATGGTATCTACATACACATGTTTACAAATATAATTAATTGCCGGGCGTGGTGGCGCATACCTGTAATCCCAGCACTCAGGAGGCTGAGGCAGGAGGATCACTTGAGTTCGAGACCAGCCTGGGCTACAAAGTGAGCTCAAGGCCAGCCTGAACTGCATAGTGAGACCCTGTCTCAAAAAGACAAATATATATATATATATAATTAATACACCTATTTTGCTTACATGTATGATACACATCAGTTCATAATAGTTACCTTGGGCTCCTTGCTTACAAAGTACACAGACTGTTTTCCTAACTAGAACAAAAGTAGCTTTAAAACTACTTGAAATAAAGTTGTCTCCATACATAGGTAAGAGAATGATATAGAAATGTTGACAGTTTACCTATTAAATGAGACACGTAAGAACACAACTGCAAAAACATCCATACAAAATAATTCATTAAAAATGCTGTGACGGATGCAGAGAGGAACAAGAGAGGGAGACAGGGAGGGAAAGCAAAGAAGTGAACACAATTAAGATGTGTTATGTGTCTACAGCAACTCCCCATGATGAATGTAATCATCATGGATTGCAAACATGTACTAAAATTTCTTTAATTAAAAAAAATAAATAAAAATGTCATGAATTGGGCCTACTGGCACAGGCCTGTAATCCAAGCACTTGGGAGGAGGAGGATTTTGAGCTTAGGGAGAGGCTGAATGACAGGGCAAGACTTGTATTGAAAAAATAAAGGTATGAAAGACAAAAACTGAGCTAACTGTTCCAGATGGAGAGGCCTAATGAGTAACTGACAACTGTAAGTAACGATGATTTATAATTTTCTATTGTTACAGATTACCAGGACACTGAGGAAAACTGAACAAGGCCTGTTAATTAAACAGTACTGTTGCAATGTTCACTTCCTAAAGTTGATAATGAAGGAAGTCTTTTGATAACAGAACACACTTGACTTTCGCAAATAAATACTAAAGTACTGAGGGGTAACTGTAACTTACTAACAAATGGCTCAGGGTAGAATGTGTATATAAAAGAAAGAGGGCCAGAAAAATGGGAAAGTGGTTAAAATATTAGAATTTTGGGTCTTTGGGGGAAGGATATACAGGAAATTTTTACTATTCTTGCAAAGTTTGAAAGACTGAAATGATGTCAAAATAGAAAATTAAAAAGAGCATAATTGTTAAGCAACTCTGAATTAAGCTGCTTTCCACCCTCAAAAGATGAAGAAAAAGTTCTTTAAATTACTGTAGTATGTTTGTTTTTCTCACTCAAATAATATTGCTGCTCAGTGTGGGAACTGTTCATTTTAAAAGATCTGCTGCATAAATGCCAATTATATTAGACTTGAAGGCCAAGTATGCTTCCAAAAGGTTCTGACCATAAAATGAAAGCCAGTAAGAAAACAAGACCCACGGATTACTGAAGCACTTGTCCAATTAAGGGCACCTGTGTACCCATAATTACCATTTAGAGAACTGGGGATACTTTTTTAAGAGGAATAAAGCTACCAACATGTTTGTATCTATATTCCCTACCTACACATTGTTTGTTCTACTGCGGGTCTGGAACAGTTAGAACAGTTGTCTATGTTGTCGGGACTCCATGGCGGGAGAAACTACAAAGAGAATGATTGTATAAACAAAGAAGGATGCTTAGGAACCTGTAACACTGGAAAGGATGTATGACTTTTCAGGCTAGTTTTCTTTTTTGTGAGTTGAAAATAATATGGGTTTAAAAAGAGAAACAAGTCAAAGCCAAGTGTGGTGGCACACGCCTGTAATCCTACCACTCAGGAGGCTAAGGCAGGAAGACATTCAAGTCCAGCCTGGGCAACTTAATGAATTTAGTGCCTGTCAGTCCCAAAATAAAAAATTAAAAAAGGGTAGGGATAGAGCTCAGTGCAAAGGCCCTGGGTTCAATCCCTAGTACAACTAAATAAACAGTACCACTTTCTTCAAACCTATACAAAGTAACACAGTGCTAGTTTTACTTAAGGCTCCCCTTTTACAAGCAAGCCTAAAAGATACATTAGAAGCTGTTATGAGTAAGTTATAAAATGCCATTCATTAAAAACAAACAAACAACAAAAGCCATTTGTCTATTCAGCAAACAATCGCTGAGAACGACTATGAGGTAGGCACTACCCCAAGGAAACAAAATAAAGAGGGCCTGTCCTCAAGGGGCTTACACGGTAGCTCAAGCAGACAGCACTTAACACTGTGTGCTAAGTGCAGCACTAGAGGTACCCCTGGGACCTTAAGAGGATCCCGGAAGAAATATACTTAAAACAAGCCGGACGTGGTG